GATTGGAACAATGGCAAGCCTTTTATCCCCATGGTGTACAAGCTGATCACGCGTGATCATGCGTTGCCCTTTAAAATGATTGGTTCCCCGCTGTTGCCCTTTAAAATGATTAGTTCCCCCGCTGTTGCCCTTTAAAAAGCTCACTACTCACCAGGAACAGGGTATCTCAGGTGTAGATTTTGGAAGTCGGCAAGGAAGATCCAAGTCCCGGTCCAGTGTCTGTCTCTCAGCTTGGTTCAGGAGAGTCTGGGTGGACAGTTACTTTACCTGGGCCAAGCTAGAATGCTCTGACTACCCTCCAGAATCAGAGACAAGTTAGACAGAATTCCCTGCACGGCTCAGGAAAGATCTGTGGAAACCTTACCCGATGACTCGGGGACTCAGAAGAAAGCAGGATTCGAGAGTGAACCCAGGACGAGCTGCCACTGCCTAGTGCTTCCCAAGTTGCAAGCCTTGCCTGCTAGAGTCCTGGAGGTCATGTCCACCTAGTGTGTCCTTCCGGGTTTTGGCACCAAATGTTAGGTCCGGAGCCAAGAGAGACACATGAATCCTCGTCTAGCAAAATGCTGTTTATTTTGAGCATCTGGGTGCAGATGGGTGAAGGCCAAAATAGGCGTCCACCTCTAAACCTTTGTAAGTTTCAAGTTGGAGGGTTTTTTTAATTTACTTGAAGCCATTCTTTTTCTACTAAGGGTCCATTTATTGAGTTTTCTATCCATGGCCAAGATGTTTAAGCCCAAAGTTGTCAGCATATTTTTAATAGCTAATTCAATTTCTTTTCTGGTTTTAAGTCCCTTTAGTTTTCTATTTCTTCCTGAGTCAGTTTTGATAATATATCTCTTCTGACGAACTTGTCCATTTTATTTTAGTTGTTTAATTTTCTGTCATAAATTTGTTTAGGATATCCCCTTATAATTATTTTAATTTCTGTAATAGTAATGATGGGATTTCTTTCATTCCAGATTTTGGTAATTTGTGCCTTGTCCCTTTTTTGTTCTTGCAATAGATTTTCAAATTTTGTCAATCTTTTCCAAACATCACTTTTTGCTTTATTGATTTTTTTTTTTTTTACTCTTCTTCAGCTTTGGTATCATTGCTTCTTTCTCTGATTTCTTATCTTTTGCTTGCTTTGGGAATAATTTGGCCTACTATACTTCTTTCAATATAAAGCTTTTAAGCTTTGATTACTTACTTGACACCTTTTTTATTCTCTAAAATTGTCTATTAAAAGCTGTGAATTTCCATCTAAGAACTTCATTAGTTGCATTTTATAAATAAATGTCCATATGCTGTGAGTTCATTATCATATAGTTCAATATATTTTCTAAGTTTCTTTGTGATTTGCTTTTGGACCTATTATTTATTTAGAATTTGCTGTTTAATTTGCAAGTATTTAGGGATTTTCATAAAATTTTCACAAATGTCTTTCTGCTTTGTCTTGTTTAATTTTATTGTGCTAAGAAATGTTTTGAGTTGTTTCAATCATGTTAAAATTATTTGCAGTTTATAAATTGCCTAGAATTTTATCTGTCCTGGAGAAAGTTCTGTGTGGTTGAAATTAATATACAAGGGCTGTCCAGAAAGTATCCAATCATGTAACCATTCTCATTATATTAACAATGGCTGGATACTTTCCAGACACAAACCCTCTTATATTCTACTGGTATTGGGTACAGTATCTCTATAAATATCAATTAGGTCTATTTGGTTCATAGTGGTGTTCAAATCTTCTATCTTCTTAATGATTTTCTGTCTAGATGTTCATTGAGTTTTTGAGAATAGGGTATTGAAATTTCCAACTATGATTTCAACTATGAAATCAGAAAAGAAACCAATGATATCAACATTGTTTTTTCAATAGTCAGACTTATTCATATATTTTGACTTTTAAAAATCATTTAAAATGTCCTAACAAGTTGCTAAGAAAGTAAGAAATGTAACAAGATCAACATTTAAGTTTGAAATGGGACTTGCTGGAAGTAAGCAGGCATCAGTGTCAGATTTATCCCTGAGAGAGTCTTCAAAACCCTGATGTCCTTGGGTCCCCATTTTGATATATCTGTAGGGTACAGGGGACTGAAAATAAACCCTAAGGTTCACTCAAAATGACAAGTATAATTAGAGATCATGACATGAAACTGAGGATCCAAAGGTCTGTATCTTCAGCATGAGAGTGAATCATGAATAAACCTGTTGCTCAAATTGATTGAAGAGCAAAGAACCTTGCTTGTTTCTCTTAGTGGAGAAAACCAGTGTTCCCTGAACATTCCTAATGTGTTAATCTCAACTGGATTTGTGACTCAAATTCCTGCTGTCTGTGTATCTAAAAGTTGTTAAGTGGAGAATGTCACTTAAATGCTCTATGGGTAGGTAGTAAAGTGGAGCATCTAGGAGAAACAAAGACAGAAATTCCCCTGAAGACTAAAACTTCTACCTAGACACAAATTATTTTAGATAAAGTTCTGAGAAAATAAATAGCTTGATATCAAATATTATAAAACACAGGAAGATTCAGGTTCAATGGGCAAGAATCAGTAGAAACAGACCACAGAATTTTTACTCAAAATTTGTCAGATATTAGATTATACATGAGATTATAAAATAAATATTGATATGTTTCAAGAAATAAAAAGAGAGGTTTAAAATAAAAACAAGGACAAGAAGTTATGTTTTAAAGAAAGCAAAAAACAGAAATGAAAAATATTACTAGAAATGAAAAATATATTACTTAAATTTAACAATTCAATAATTGGTTTGATTTGTTAATTAAATAATTGATTTAATAATTAAATTAATTAAATTAAATAATTAAATAATAATCTAATTAAATAATTAAATTAAATTAATAATTAAATAATTGATTTAATAATTAAATTAAATAATTTAATTAATTAATTAATTTAATCAATTATTTAATAATTAAATTGATTAATTTAATTACTTAATATTTAATTGTTAAATTAATTGTTTAATTATTAAATATTAGTGATTATCAATGATTAATACTTATTAATTATTAAGTTGATTATTAATTAATTTAATGGACAAATTATTAAATAATTTGTTTATTAAACTCAGAAGAGAAAAATAATAATTAACTGTTAAATTTAAAGAAATTGCATGGAACACATCACAGTGACAAAAGGAAAAGGAAAATATAAATAAAATATTTAAAAGCATGGAATACAGAATGAGAGTGTATAATAAATATTTAATAGCACATTATCATGGAAATAACAATGGTGATACTTTACAAGATGATGTTTGACTCTTTAAAACAAAAGTCTTACTGTCTACTTAGTGAGGGTAAAAAAAGCAGGAAAGTGATGCTGTAAAACACTGCACATATCTAAGAATTAGAAAATCTGTACAAATGTATTGTTAAAAACTCATTAAAATTATCTTCAAATGTGTAAGAAAAAGCCAAGTCATTAAAAATCAATAGTTTTTGTTTCATTAAAAAAGAAGATGGATTCAATTATTTATCAACATATGACTTTAGAATTTAGAAAAATGTAATTAAAATAAATACAAAGAAGAAATGTAATAACAAAATGTTCAAATAATGAAAAATATGTAATTCAGAAGGTATACAAAGCTAAATGTTAGCTCATTAAAAAAAGAATAATGAAAAGAGAGAATATAAAACAAGATAAATAAAAAACATACATATAAATGAATCAGATTAGGAATGAAAATATACACAGCTATAGCAGTGATTAGTATTAATAAAGATATTATGAACAAATTTTTAAGAATATTATTGAAACTTTGATAAACTGAATAAATTCATAAAGAAAATGGCTTGATGAATAGATAACCAAAATATTCACATAGCCATTAAGGGAAAGATTTTGCCTCAATAACTAATAATTGTTCTCTACAAAATACTTACATTCTAGGACCATAGGGCTTAATATGTAATTTTAAACTTTCACAAAATCCTAGAGGAAAAAAATAAAAAGAAACTACGCTAATATAAGAAGGTAGCAGTCATTGTAAACTACGATTAGATGAGGAAAGTACAAATATGAAAAATTACAAGCCTAAATCATAAATATAAATGCAAAAATCCTAAGTGAAGACATCAACAAATCCCATAAAATAATTCATAATGAATGTGAAAAAAGCCAAACTAGACAGCCTACTTTTTATTCCTAGAATGCAAGATTAAATTAATTTTCAAATGTAATATAATGGGGAAATATTTCTGTCTAATTTATCTAAAAATTATCCTGGTCTGTTGTTGGGATTTAATTAAATATTAAATTTATAAATTAATTGAGTTAAATTTTCATGCTTAAAATATCAAACATTTTTATAAAGACAACTTTCTATGCATTTATTTAAATTTGTTTTTATGTTGTTTGATAACATTCTGTCATTTTCTTCCTATAGACTTTGCCCAGTTCATGTTAGGTTTATGACTGGATTTATGCTCTTTATTTTATGTTTTAGTTTTGCTGTATTGAGATTATTCTGTTTTCAGTATATTTGTTATATAGATAAACATTTTTTGTATATTAATTTTGCATGAATTATCTTATTTTAATAATTTTCAGTTGATTCTTTTGTGGATTTTGTTACATAATTGTATAATCAGAAAATGATCATTTTTGTCTTTTTCATTCTGATATTTAAGACTCCTATTTCATCATTTTCCTTCTAGGTGGTTTTGAAAGGCCTCTACTCTTGCAGTTCTTCTCACTTCGAAGCAATTACATAGAAAGTGCTTTTATATAATGCTCAATACATACATTGATCCTAGTAAAAAGGATTTGTACTGAAATAATTTTAGCTTATAAAATATATTTTAATTCTTTTGATGAATGAAGAAAGTAATATATTAACGTATCTCTTCCTTTATATTTAGTAAGATTCACAGCTAACGATTTTCTGAAACTAAAATAATTCATATTTATTTATTATCAAAGATTTCCTTCTGACCTCTGGACTTTTTGTTTTAAAATCAGATTTTTTGCTTCTTATTCTACATCTAGAACACGAGGCTTATTTAAGAGATTTTATAGAATTACGATGGCATCTTGAAGATAAAGTTAATAAACTAAAACATTTTGAGGAAGAAAAGAAACAGTTAGAAGAAGCGAATGCAAAGATTCAAGCAGACGTATACTTCATGATTGAGCGTGGCCCTCTGCTGAAGTTAAAACAGGACCAAGAACTTGTAGCCCTAAATAAAATTTACACACAAAAAAGAGAGGTAAATGAATGAATGGATATGCATTTAACAAACTGTTAGATATGCAAAAATGGTTTGAACATGAGAAATTAATATTATTGTAAAGGGTTCATTTTCAGTGAAAATTGACCTGCTGTTTATCTACACATACTACCATCTATTGGTATTCAAGTTAACTGTCTCTTTTTCCCTTATCTTTATACTTAGAAGTATTTTTTTTCTTTTATATTTCAGCATATTATGGGGTACAAATGTTTAGGTTAGGTATATTGCCCTTGTCCCACCTGAGTGAGAGGTTCAAGTGTGTCCATCCCCTCAAAGGCAATCACAGCAACAACAAAAATAAATAAATGGGACCTGGTCAAATTAAAAAACTTTTGCACAGCCAAGGAAACTATCAGTAGAGCAAACAGACAACCTACAGAATGGGAGAAAATATTTGCATGTTACATATCCGATAAAGGGCTGATAACTAGAATCTATATAGAACTCAGGAAAATCAACAAGAAAAAAATCAAACAACCCTATCAAAAAGTGGGCAAAGGACATGAACAGAAACTTTTCAAAAGAAAATAGACTAATGGCTAACAAACATATGGAAAAATGCTCAACATCCCTAATCATCAGGGAAATGCAAATCAAAACCACAGTGAGATATCACTTATCTCCAGTGAGAATGACCTTTATCAAAAAGTCCCAAAAAGTGATAGGAACACTCATACACTGCTGGTGGGACTGCAAACTGGTACAACCTCTGTGGAAAGCAATATGAAGATACTTAGAAATACTAATAATATTTAATATACCTACTAATAAAATTTTTGAGGTTTAAAATAGCTTGGTATTTTTTAAAGCTGTCATTGGACTGAGGGTGAATGCAAAAAGAATATATCAGTAAATGTTATTGTTGATGAAAATATGTAAATGAAGTAAAGTTATTTTATTGATTAAACTTTTAGCTCTTCTATTGTGGGATCATATTATATTTAAAAATATATATATACCTGTCACAAAATGAAAATTGCATCATAGTTGCTTATAGACATTTTAAAGTAAATAAAACACGTTGTTAAATGTTTCCATTTTCCTCCTTCCTTCACCAAAGATAATCTTTATCATGAATTTCATCTGTTTCTAAGCAAAATTTGTATAATTATATATATGTATGTTTATAAATAATAAAGTATATTTTAATTACACAAATCATATACATTATGTAATTTTCTGCAACTAGTTTTTTAATCTGACATATTTTTAGTTTAATCAAGCTACTATTGATACCTATTAATCTAATTCATTTTACTTGCTATGTTCCATCAAACAGATATCTCACAATTGTATTATTTACCATTTTCTTATCTCTTGGTTATCTCAATTTTTTTCAATATTTGGCAACAAAACTGCAGATTTGGCTATAAACAATAATCACCCATGAACACATTCCTGTTTATGTGCATGTGAATTTTTTGTGGATATTTACCTAGTGGAATATATACTTGGTCATGGGTTATATGCATTTTTATTTTTATTAGATAATACTAAGTTACTCTCTGAAGTGCCTCTAACAATTTATATTACTGGAGTAGTAGCAGTGCTGAAGAAATCTCATTTCTCCAGTCTGAACAATAATGCTAATATTATCCTTTTAACTAATAGACCCCTATATAGTTGAATGGCAATATGTCTGGCTAAATTTATTTCCCAATTTCCCTTTTCCCATGGTATTTCTAATGAGATGTTGGTAAAGTTCTTGGCTAGGACTTCTAGAAAAGTTCATTGAAATGGACTGATTCAGCCAAAAGTGGCACCCTTTTGCAATTAGCCATTTTCTAAATTTACAACAAATTAGCTGTTATAGCTGCAGCTCTCACTTCCATTTTATAGCATGAAGCAACCATGAGAATGAAAGCTATTAATTGTACTCAAGATGGCTGAATAGAAAGACAAACGAGAGTTGGATCCATTTCTGTGAGAGAAAAGCAAACTGCGGTCTTCTTTAAGCAACTTATTTGGCTTATTTCTGTTACAGCCAAACTCAGTTCTAACTGACATAACTCACACAAAACATTTTTATTGTCATTCATTAAAAATGTGTACATATGTGTTTAAATTGTCTTCCCTTTATTGTTTTAGTGTTTTTCCCTGATAGTAGACTTGGGTATGTTGTTTGCAGAGGAAACAGAGTTTTGGGGCAGCTGGAAGACCAAAGTTCTTGTAAATGGGAGGAAAGCAGGAGAATTCATTTGCGCAAACAAACAAACAAACAAAAAATTAGCAAGCAATGTTTGTGTAGGGCTTATCAGGACCACAGTGATGTTTAATTTTATGTGTCAGCTTGGTGGGGCCATGGTGCCTAGGTGTTTAGCCAAACCAAATGTTATTTTTAATGTTTCAAAGAAGGAGTTATTGGATGAGATTAACATTTAAAGCTGTGGATTTAGAGTGAAGCAGATATCCTACATAATGTGGGTACGTTGCATGCAATCTGTGGAAGGCCTTAACAGAAAAAAGACTGACCTCCTCTGAGTAAGAAGAAATTTTGTCAGCACACTACTTTTGGACTTAAATTGCAACTTTTCCCTGGGTCTTCAGCCTGACAGCCTACCCTGAACATTGTGGACTTGTACCTTTGCCATTGTGTGAGCTATTTCCTTATAATCAGTCAGGCTCTCTTTTTCTCTCTCTCTCTTCTGTTGGTTCTGTTTCTTTAGAGAACTCTGCCTACTACAGCCACCATTAATGCAATGGCCACCCTTCTGCCATTTCCTTATTATTGTGTTGCTCATTGCATCTTAAATTTCTAGATCAGAGCTTCTGTATACTTGCCGTTAAGTCAGCAGGCCATCTTCTACCTATTCCAGGGGTCAACATGAGTGAGAGTCTAGCCTTTTTCTCTTTTGCCATGGAGGCCAGTAACTGTGATGAAACAATCTACTATGGGCAAACAACGCAAAGGAAAGTAATCCATAATGAAATTGAGATGCTATTTAAAAAGATTATTGATGTCATGCAGCCAAAGTATGAAAATGCTTTGCTATAAGGTAGAAGAAAAGTGATATCCTTGTAAAAGAAACTATATTTTTCTTTGATAAAATGAGCATAACTGACAAAACTCAAAAATAAAAAGCAGAATTATGAGCTCTGAGAGGCCCAAATATTTCTTCAGAGAGAAATAGAAATTACATGCATAGAGACTGTAGGAAAGTAAAATAGAATAGTGTTTCAGAGCACAAGTTCCAAAGCATTATTAATCAATCCATGTATTTGAATCCATAGTATTTAGATTTTAGGCATTTTTTAACCTTTGTGCCTTAGTTTCTTAATTTACAAAATGAAACTGATAATAATAGTGCCTACATTATCCTGAATGAGATTAAATGGACATGAAAATAAGCATACCAAAACTTAAGGGATGCTGTGAAAGCAGTGTTCACAGGGAAATTTGTAGCTGTAGACACATTTAAAAAGTAAGATTTCATTATCAATAACCTAACTTCATACCATGTAAAACTAGAAAAAGAGAAGGAATCTAAAACCAGAAGCAGAAGAAAGATAATGGTAAAAATCAGAGTGAAGGTAAAATTGAGAATAGAAAAACAGTAGGGACAACAAACGATATCAAAAGTTGGTTTTTTAAAAAGATAAAATTGACAAACTTTTAGCGAGACTGATCATAAAAATGAGAAAACTCAAATTACTAAAATCAGAAATGAAAGTAAGGACATTATTACAGGTCTTACAGAAATAAAAAAGATTACAGAATACCATGAAAAATTATTTGCCAACAAATTAGATAACCTAGATGAAATGAGAAAATTCCTAGAAACACAAACCACCAAAACTGAATCAAGAAGAAATAGAAAATCTGAGCAGGTGTATACCAAGTATAGGGATTGAATCAAGAATTAACTACTGCCCCACAAACAAAGGAAAGCTCAGGACCAGATGGCTTCACTGGTGAATTTGACCAAGCACAAAAATAAAAATGGACACCATTTTCAAACTCTTCCAAGATGAAGAAGAGAAAGAGGATAAGGAAAAGAAGGAGGAAGAAAATGAGGGAATACTTCCTAACTCATCTATGAGGCCAACATTATCCAGTTACTAAAGCCAGATAAAGAATCATAAGAAAATAAAACCAGAGACTAATATGCCTTATAAATATAGGTGCAAAAATCCTCAACAAAATACTAGCAACCCAAATCCAGCATTAAGATTATATATTATAACCAAGTAAGATTTATCTCAGTAATACAAGGATGGTTCAACATCTGAAAGTAAATCAGTTTAATACACCTCATTAACAGAATAAAGGAAACACCTCCTGCCCCAAGACATAAACACAATAATCTCAATCAATGAAGAAAACATATTGGACAAACTCCAACCCACTTTCATGATAAAAACTCTCAACAAATTAGAAAAAGAAGGAAACTTGCTTACTATGATAAAGAGAATTTATGTAACTAAAACCCACAGCTGAGACTAAACAAAACAGGGAAAGATTTCTAACTTTCCCCCTAAGTTCATGAACGAGAGGATGACCATTTTCATCACCTCAATTTAACATTGTACAGTAAGTTTTAGCCACAGCAATTAAGTAAGTAAAAGAAATAAAAGGCATCCAAATTGGAAAGGAAAAAGTTAAATTTTCTCTATTTGCAGAGGACATGATCTAATATATAGAAAATCCTAAAGAATTTACAAAACAAACTATTAGCACTAATAACAAATTAAGCAAGTTTTCTGGATATGAGCTCAACACACACAACTCAGTTGTATTTTTATTCATTAAGAGTAAGCAATCCAAAAATAAAATAAAGACAATAATTCAATTTATAAAGCATCAAAATGAATAATGCTTACTAGCAATTTTAATCAAGAAGTTGCAAGACTTGTACAATAAAAACTATAATATTGTACTGTAATAAATGAAATAAAACCCCCCAAAATAGACAGACATCCATATTTAACTTAATATTGTTAAAATGTCAATAATACCCCAAACTATCTATGCATCTCTAACAAAATTTCAATGGTCTTTTCGCAGAAATGGAAAAGCCTATCTTAATCTGTATATGGAGTTGCAAGGGACTCCAAATACTTAAAATGATCTTAAAAAAGAAGACTACACTGGAGAACTCAAAATTTCCAGTTTCAAAACTTACTATTAATATTCTCCTCAGAGACAGAACCAAGTAGAGGCAGCTTCTGTACCCCAGAACCTGCTGAAATTATGCCCCTGAAATTTAGCTAACTGTCCCCTGCTTACCACCTGTAAACTGTTCCCTATAGCTCCAGCTTGCTGTTAATCTGTCCCTGGATGAAACCCCCACCTGACCTTGTCTGGCAGCCATCTCTCCTTTGGAGCTATGAGTAACAAAGAGTTCTGCGTTTCATCTATCCCAATGTCACTGTGTTGTGTACTGTCACTGAAGGAATCTTTTTTAAAACAGGAGTAAATGATGAATGGGTTTGGGGTTTACCTTTGAGATGATGAAAATGTATTGAAACTAGACAAAGGTGATGGTAGCACAACATTGTGAATACGCTGAATGCCACTAAATTGTACACTTTAATATGGTTCTTTTTATGCTATCTGAATTTTACTTCAACAACAAAAAACTATTATAAATATATTAGAAAAATTAGATAAATTTTAAAAAATACATTGTAAATCAATATCCCTTAAAATGAGAAAAAATTATATTATCTAAAAAATACCTTAACTAAATTTTTTTAAATATGAGTATTATTCCAAGATCAAAGGAGAAATCAAAAACAAATATTAGATTAATATGCTTTATTATTTATTACTTTATTATTAGTGTAATTTATATACACTCTATATTTTTTGATATTGCAGTTGGGTTTGACCTAGCCTATAAATGACAAAATTTCAATCTTGTTTCAAATATCAAGTCTACAGAAAAAGAGGGCTAATTTTAAGTTAAGTGAGGCTGACATATTTCAACACAAAATTTTATGAAAATTGTACAAACCGTATATTATAAAAATCTACCAATAAGTATATTGGTAAATATATTTGAACATATAACACAAAATATCTGCCAAAGAATTTTTCATCATAAGAGAAGAACAATACAACATTCCAAAAATAATTTATTATAGCAATGCAGAGATAGCTCAACAGCAGAAAATCTAGGTACATAGTTTATTGTATAAACATGACAAAAGAAAAAAACATAATTTTATCAAAGGATGCTTGAGATGTATTTGTTACCATTCAAAAGTTGATAATAAAAAATTAAACTAGAAAGAAATTATTGCATTTATTAAAGAACTATTACACAAAAATCATTAGCATTCATATTAATCATTAAAATGCTAAAGTCATTTCAAGGAACAATAGGAACAAGTCAGGTATATCTAATATTTCCATTAGAATTTAATATCATTTTGGAGACTTTTGCTGATGCAGTAGGACAAAACAATGAAATAAAAGATATATATTTAAAATGAGCAAATAACATTTTTACATTATTATAACTAAAACACCAAATAGAAAACTCTTCTTTTCAAAATAAGTTTGTATTTACTAAAACTAAATCACCCAATACAGCATACTTTTATCATCATGAATAAAAAATAATTTTTCTCTATGCTTGCAGTAGTCAAAAATATAAGTGGAAAATATATATTACTAGCAAGTAATTAAATATTTAAAAGAAATTTATAAAGATACAGACATTTAAGACTATTTATAAAACCTTATTGTAAAACATGTTTACATAATATTCCAAAAATATTATGTAAAGAGTCATCAAATTCTAGTAAAATTTAGACAAACTTTTTGGTTTGCCAATTTGCAAAATATTATTAGAAAAAAAATTGTGTAGAATCTTGCAAAGAGTTTTAGACATGGGTTCTCATCAATTCTACTGGTGAGAATACATATTGTTAGCCCTTTCTGGAGAGCAATTTGGCAACAAGAGCTTATCGAAATTCTTAAAATACATGCTATTCCCTTCTGACTCAGCCAATGTTCTTTAACAATACATTTGAAAAAAATATTTAAAGATAAGCAGTTTTACCTGTAAGTTGTGCAGTTTCCTTTTCACATGGTTCTTCATCATAGTAATGTTTATATTATGTACCCCTCATGCATATGTTGTGCATGCCAGGTTGTGCATAACATGCATGTAATTTGACAATGATTGAGTTATGAGTAATGTGTGATATAAGGAAATATTATGCAAAAGAAAAGTTGTGATACAGAAATAGACAAATAGGGAGACAGAGAGATAGAGAAGCGATGAGAATAAGAGATGGAGAGAGAGAAAAGAATAACTATGATGTTTATTAATTAATAAAAAACAGTAAATTTGAATATTTTGGGTCATTACACTAAGATAATAATGGTTATTGTTGATTGAGGGCAGTATGGGTGATTTTTATGTTTTCTTTGTTCAGCTTTGTTTTCTGTTTTGGTTTTTTTTTTGGTATAGCATAATATTATTTGAATAATAAAAGCAATAAATAATAATACGGTTTTTTGGAATGAAAAGATAATGACTTCATTTTAGACATGTTAACTTGGATATTGAAGTTATGTTCTTCAGTAGCTTTTATACAACCCCAATGTTGATGCCTTATCAGGGTAAAGAAAACCTGAAATCCACTTACTAAACAATAGACTAAATATGGGATGAAAATGTATATAAAGAGGCTGGGCGCAGTGTCTCACACCTGTAATCAATCCTAGCACTCTGGGAGGCCGAGGCAGGCGGATTGCTCAAGTTCAGGAGTTCGAAACCAGCCTGAGCAAGAGCGAGACCCCGAAACCCCGTCTCTACTATAAACAGAAATAAATTAATTGGCCAACTAATATATATAGAAAAAATTAGCCAGGCATGGTGGCGCATGCCTGTAGTCCCAGCTACTGGGGAGGCTGAGGCAGCAGGATTGCTTGAGCCCAAGAGTTTGAGGTTGCTGTGAGCTAGTCTGATGCCACCACACTCACTCTAGCCTGGGCAACAAAGCGAGACTCTGTCTCAAAAAAAAAAGAAAAGAAAAGAAAATGTGTATAAAGAACTTTTTACCTAAATCAAAACTTCCCTAAGTTAAAGGTCTTTCTTTTAATTAACCATTAGGTGCATATATTAGCAAAAATATTTTTATTTCTAGGTAACGGAAATATTTGATCAGACTCATGACGAACTTGAAGAAACTTCAGAAAACTGCAAAAATACCAAATTGAAGGCTAAGCAAGATAAAGAAGAAATGGATAAAGAAATTCACAATTATGAACTAAACTTAGAGGCCTACAGGTAAGAATTTTTGACAAATGTGCTTAGTGCAAATGTACTTGCACTGAGAAATTAGATATTAATTAGGAATGTAATATATATTCCTGCACAAAAATACAGATAAAGAGAAAAGAAAGATTTTAAATTGCCCATACCTATCTTATCACTAGGTTTATATATAAATTGAAATATTATATATTTTAATATGTGTAAATTTATGTATATATAAATTCCTAAAGTATTATATTTCTGTGTCATTTTAAAACTTTTCCTATATAGTCAAATTGCCTGATATGTCATTATAATATACATTCTCACTATAGTGCAAATGTAAAATAAAAAATAAAAAAAATTAAAAAAAATTCCCAGCATATGATGTTATTAAATTAGGTATCAATGTAATAATGATAGATGTAGCATCTAATTACTTTAACTTGAATTTGTTGGATGACTAATAAAGGGAAATATTTTTAAATACATAGATTAATTATATTTTACATATTATTAACTGAGGTTTTTTTACCCCTTACATTTATTTCTGATGAATTTGTATTTTTTGATATTTTTCAATTTTTTCGTTGGCTTTAACTTTTTTATGGTTCTATATGATGTAACAAAATATTTATTCCAACTGATCAATGATTTAGTATAGAAAAACTCATATTCATTATGGAGCTAGAATCAAATAAATGTAAGAAAAATGAATACAATTTATACAAAATCCTAAAATCTAGATTACATCCATTTGTTAAAGTGTGTATATTTTCTCACATCTAATGTATATTGCAACAAGTGCTTAAACATTATTATTTAATAAATAAATTTCTTTTGTAACTCACTTGATTAGTTATATTTTCATTATCTTTCAGTCATATATATTTTCTAATTTTCATTCTGATTTCTTCTTTGACTCATGAGTTTCTAAGAAATGTATATTTTAAAATATCTATGATGAATTTCTAATTAACTTTTTATTGTTGCTTTCCAGCCAAATTGTGTTTTGGCCAGGGAACATTAGTTTCAACTGTTGAAAATTATTGAGCCTTAATTGATAGTGCAGTTGTATGTTGTTGGTTTTTTTTTGATAAATATTCCTTGTGTAATTGAAAATAACATTTAATCTTTACTTGTTGAGTGTATTGTTTTTTACTGTTTCATTGGATACTAGTAATGGAAGTTAATCTTTGTACAGCAACATCAGCATTATCTGGGTGCTCATTCAAAACTCAGACTCTCAGGCTCAGCCCAGACTTAAAATCTCAAGGTGATGTTTGAGAAGCGCTGTTCTATGTAATTACTAATTTTGTACTAGTTTTTCATTCTTTGTATTGGGAAAATTCAATATCCTCCTTCTAGCTATTTGAAACTATATATTATTAACTATAGTTATTCCACAATGGTGTAGAACACTAGAACTTATTCCTCCTATCTTGCTGTAATTTTGTATCCTTTAACAAATATTTCCCTATCCCCCATTTTTCCTACCCTTCTCAACCTCTAGTATCCTCTGTTCTACTTTTTATGTCTATGAGATCAACTATTAATATTTTTAGTTTCCACATATGAATGAGAATATACAGTGTTTAACTTTCTGTTCCTGGCTTATTTCATTTAACATAATGCCCTCTAGTTCCACCCATGTTGCTGTGAATGACAGGATTTCATGCTTTTTATAGTTGCTGGTATTCCATTGTGTATATATACCACATTTTATTTATTCATTCATCTGTTGTTGGACACCTAGGATGATTCCATATCTTCACTATTGTGAATAGTGCTGCAATAAACATGTAGGTGCAGATCCCTCATTTTTACACTAATTTTCTTTTCTCTGGATAGTACCTAGTAGTGGCATTGCTGGATTATATGGTAGTTCTATTTGTAGTTTTTAAAGGAACCTCCATACTGTTCTCCATATTGGCTATGCTAGTTTACATTCCCACCAACAGTGTATAAGTGTTCCCTTTTCTCCACATCATCACTAGCATTTGCTATTTTTTGTCTTTCTTATGAATGCCATCCTAGTTGGGTTGAAATGAGACCATTGTGGTTTTTCATTTGTGTTTCTATGTTGATCAGCGATATTGAGAATTTTTTCATATATTTTTGGCCATTTATACGCTTTCTTTTGAAATATATCTGTTCAGATTGTTTGCCAATCAGATTATTTGGTCTTGGGTGTTATAAAGTTTGAGTTCCTTGTATATTCTGAATATTAATCCCCTATTAGACTAATAGTTTGCAAATATTTGCTCCCATTCTCTAGATTATATTTTCACTATGGATTTCTTTGCTATGCAGAATCTTAAATTTGATATAATCCCATTTGCTTTGGTTTGGTTTTGTTGCCTGTGCTTTTGAGGTCTTGTTCATAAAATATTTTCTCAGATCAATGTCCTAAACTGTTTTTCTTATGTTTTCTTTTAGTAGTTTTAATTTTGTTTCTTACATTGAGGTCTTTAATCCACTTTGAGTTGGTTTTTGTCTAAGGTGAGAGGTGGAGTTTTAGTTTCATCCTCCCACATATGCATATCCAGTTTTCCCAGCATAATTTACTGAAGAGAATAAAGTAGGAATGTTCTTGCCACTTTTGTCAAAAATCAATTAGCTATAGATATGTGGATTGATTTTTGGGTTCTCTATTCTGTTCCATTGGTTTATATGTCTGTTTTTATGCCAATACTATGCTGTTTTGTTTATTACCGCTGTATAATATAATATATTTTGAAGAGATTTCTGTGAAAAATGACAATTGGTATTTTGATAGGGATTGCATTGAATCTGTAGATTACTTTTGGTAGAATGTTTATTTTAATAATATTAATTCTTGTGACCCATGAGCATGGAATGTCTTTCCATTTGTTTGTGTCCTCTTCAATTTCATTTATCAGTGTTTTATAGTTTTCCTGGTAGAGGTTTTTACCTTGTTAGTTACATTTACTTTTAGGTTAGGTTTTTTCTTCTTTTTTTCCTACCTATTATAAATGAGATCATCTCCTTGATTTTTTTCCCAGCTAGTTTGCTTTTTATGTATAGAAATGTTTCTGATTTTTTGTATGTTGATTTTGTATCCTGCAACTTTATTGAATTTGTTTATCGGTTCTAAGAGATTTTTGATAGTCTTTAGGTTTTGCTATATATACTATCATGTCATCTGCAAAGAGGGACAGTTTGACTTCCTGCATTCTGATTTGAATGTCCCTTATTTCTTTTTCTTGTCTAATTGCTCCAGCTAGGACTTCAGTGCTATTTTGAATAAGAATGATGAGAGTGGACATTATTGTCTTTTTCAAATTCTCAGAGTAAAAGTTCTCTATGATAGTAGCTGTGGGTTTGTCATATATGGACTTTATTGTGTTGAGGCACTTTCTTTCTATACCTAATTTATTGAGAGTTTTTATTATGAAAGAATGTTAAATTATACTAGATGCTTTCTCTCCATTTATTGAAATGATCATTTCATTTGTGTACTTCATTCTTTTGATGTACTATATTATGTTTATTGATTAGCATATATTGAACCATCTTTGCAATCCTGGAATAAATTCCACTTGACCATGGTGTATTAATCTTTTTGATGTATTATTGGATTTGGTTTGCTAGTATTATGTTCAGGATTTTTGTGTCTATGTTCATCAGGGATATTGCCCTGTAGTTTTCTTCTTTGGTTGTGTTCTTGACCAGTCATGCTATCAGGGTTATGCTGTCCTCATAGAATGAATTAAGTAGGGTTCCTCCACTTCAACTTTTGGGAAAAATATTATTTTTTCATTAAAGTTTTAAAGTTTGGTAGATTTCAGTGGTGAAGTTATCCAATACTGGACTTTCTTTTGTTGGGAGACCTTTTATTATGATTTATTCAACATCATTACTTATTGGTCTGTTCAGGTTTTCTATTTCTTCTTGGTTCAATCTTGGTAAGTTGTTTATGTCCAGGAATTTATCCATTTCCTCTACGATTCCAAATTTATTGGCATAAAGTTGTTCAAAAGAGTTTCTCATGATCCTTCGTATTTCTCTGGTATTCATTGTGGTGTCTCCATCCATCTTTGTTTCTGATTTTACTTATTTGAGGCTTCTTCTTTTTTTTCTTAGTTAGACTAGCTAATGGTTTCTTGATTTTGTTTATCTTTTCAAAACACCAATGTTTTGTTTCATTGATCTTCTGTATTGTTTTTTAGTCTCACTTTTGTTTATTTCTGCCCTGATCTTTGTCATTTCTTTTCTGCCACTAATTTTGAATTTGGCAAGTTCTTGCTTTTTATAGTTCCTTAACATGTATTGTGAAGTTGTTTATTTGAAATCTTTCTAGTTTTTGGCGTAGACATTTATTACTACAAACTTACCTCTTAATATTACATTTGCTGTGCCCCATAGGTTTTAGTACATTGTGTTTCTATTTTCATTTGTTTCAAGGAAATTTTAAATTTTATTCTTAATTTTATCCTTGACCCATTGATTGTTCAGGAGCATGTTTAATTTCCATGTATTTGTGCAGTTTCAAATGTTCCTCCTGTAATTAATTTCTAGTTTTATTCCATTGTGTTCAGATAAGATCATTGATATGATTTTTATTTTTTAACATTTTTTAAAACTTCTTCTATGTTCTACCATATGACAAATTCTGGAAAACGTTGCATGTGCTGATGAAAAGAATGTGTATTCTGCAGCTGAGAATACAGTGTTAAAAGTTCCCAACTATTGTTTATTGGGGAATAGTTCTCCTTTTAGATCTAATATTTTCTTTATATATTTGGGTGCTTCCAGGTGTTCCACTGAATTGAAACAAATGTGTCAACAGGAGTAATAACCCTTATAGGTTCTAGGGAGAAAATATTCCATACTTTTCCATTTTTTAGTGGCTTTCAACTTTCCTTGACTATGGCTACATCACTCTAATCTTCAATATCAGCATCTTCAAATCTTTCTCTGTTCCATCTTCATATCACCATCTTCTCTGTGTGTGTGGTAAAATCTCACTTTGTCTTCCTATTGAAAGATAATGTAATTTCACTTAGTGC